GCGTAGTTTTAGTATTTTCGCAAAATCCCACAACTCGTACATCGCAGACCTTGCTATATTTTTCGTACCAGTGTACTCTGCCATATGCTCCCGATGCACACTTATTAATCAGTACAAAAATGATGTAGAGTAGAACTACACTGTGTTAACATTTGAAAAACCTGCAAATACGTTAATGAACGCGTTACTGTACAAAATAAAAACGTTGACAATGCTTCTTGTGCATGTAGGCGAGTAAATATTTATTTTCCTGGCAGATAAACCAACCGCATACGTCAACAGTACGACTTACGTGCTCCGAGTACGAGAAACCGTTTTCTTTGTTATCGGTTACTTTTCGGAAGTTGCCCGATTACCGAACATTTCGTATTATCGAGTGTAGATTTAACGAACTTCTAACCGTATAAGCGTATGTTAAATTCAAACCAATTCAAATCGACTGAAGATTAAATTACTGCCGAAATATATCAATTTATTTGTCTTTTCTAAAATAAATGACTATTTAATAAGTGTGAATGTAATTTACACATACAAGAATGAATTTGAATATGAATTTAAAATTTATTTCTTTATATTCAACTCCTCCTGGTATATTGATACATACGATGTTTGCATTATCTCTCTTATCCATAAATTTTATATAAAAATTCGTGGAAGTGCGTTTCTAAATAAAAATATAAATTTAATGTAAAATTTATATACATTTAAGAAAAATAATTAATAAAGAAATATTACCCCCCATGCAGGCTTTGTAATTAAGAAGGAATCCTCTACTTCATAAATCTTTCCAGGCTTCAAAGGGTTTTAATTAATAAATCCGTGTGCATCTCCAATTGAGATCTTTGGATAACGAATAAGCTGATCAAATGCTATAAAGAATTTTACATTTGTAACTTGGTACTCCATTTCAGGAATCTCCTCGCCTTAAACATTGTAAACAAATTAACAATATTAATTCGTATTAATAAGCGTACAAATATAAACTTTGAAATTTTCGTGTTACAAGTACACGTAAGCTACTTACATACTTCAAATTTGACTGAAAACTTTACTACGCAGTCGTAATTAAAGTAACACGCTTTTGCACAATCGTCTTTTCATCCAGTAAGCGAGAACGAATGAATTCGTCTTTTAGGGGCGTCTATAAAAAGCAACGTAAAAATATAAATAATATTTATTAAATATTCTATCGTAGATACGGAAGATTCTTTTAAACTTACAACATTATCTATAGTCGAAGCAGTTAACTGTTTGAAACAACAACACATNTCCGTAAAATGAATTTTATACAAATAAGTGTCTGTCCGATTATTGTCAATGATTGATGTCGATTAACATTGTAGCCTGTACATTATTTAAAATTGAAACTTATTGACACAATGAAATGAACCTATTATTTTCAAATTTCTTCTTCTTCTTATCATGCATTAGACAAGAGGTGCGTAGTTCCGGGTCGTACTCGTTCCAAACACAAAACTACTGGAAATAATTTTAAATTTATGAAGATATTTTATAAGTTTATATTTTAATCGGAATTCGGAACTAGTAACTACAGATACTTGTGGCATTGCCCGGCCAAAAAGTAAGAAGGCTAAACGTTAAAACGTTACAATTTTGGCCTACTGTTACCGTGTTTACCACGAAGCGTCGAGGAGATCAAATCGGAGAAGAGTGAAGTATCCAGGTTTCATAGAAGCCCATGTTTTCTTCACGGTGCAGATCGGATAAAGTGTTTAGGAATTAATTAACGAGGGGAATAAAATCAAGGAATGGGTAAAGTGTCCTCATTTCATTTTAACCTACGGAGGTTGGGCAAAGTAATTCGAACACCAACGAAAGATCGCTTTCTTTTTATTAATAAAGAGTAGTATCCCTTTTGCAGATATTACAGCTGAAGTACGACGAGGAATAGACAAATACAAATCACGAACGTCAGTAATGTCAATTTTGTACCATTTTTGAATCAATACTGATGCTAATTTCCTAACGGAAGTAGGCAGTGGAAATCTGCACCTAATCTTTTTCTCAAGAATGTTCCACACAGGCTCAATAATTCGAATTTTCCTCCAGATGCTCGTCCTGTGGTGTCTAAAGAGACCACAACGCGTTGTGGTCTCTTTAAATTATCCACAAAGCGTTGGGGTCGTTTTTTTTCACTCAATGAACGTTTTCGTTCTTTGAGCATAACATATATAAGTATTTCTCACTGGAATTAGTTCCAATAGTTTCAGTTCCAGAACCGGAATTATATTTGCTACCTTTACACGAGACTAATCGCCTTCTGCTCCAAGTTTATTGTTTCTCTTCACCGTATCTCTCCGTCTTCTCGATCTTAATCTTCTTTTTCTGTCTGGTTGCCAATGATTCATCTGTTCTACTATTTTCTATCTGGCATTCTATCGATATGTTCAACCATTTAATTCATTTAATCTAAAAATAATTTTCAAATATACAGTATATTAGATTTTAAAACATTTATAAATTATTATTAAGCTATTTAGACTTATTTTCTTTTCTATTTTAGGAGGAAAAGGTTCGAATTCTTCAATAATTATTAACTTTAATAATTGTTGTCACCAAATGACGTACAGTAAGCGGTCAAAATCCACCCAATAAATGCGAGAGACTATTTTAAAGAACGAAAATGTTGCCAAGCACATTTAGTACAGTACAAAAACTTTATATTTATTTGTATAGTATATGTTTACGTATATAATTATAATATAATTATCCGAACAACGTAATTATTTTATTAATAATAGTAACATACAAAGAACATATGGGTTGGGAAGGATTTGACGCAGACAAAAATCTATATTGTATTTGTGGAAAAAGTACACTTCAATAATCAGTATAGCCTTCTTTCGCCTTTAAAACGTTCCTAATGTGATTGGAAATAGAATAAATACTTTCCCGGAATTTGTGCAATATTATTTTCCACTCATTCCGTAACGTTTCCATAATTGGTGGAGCTGCACAGTCGGACAAACGACATTTAAGAAAGAACCAGACGAGTTCAATCGGGTCGAGATCGAGACGACCACTCGAGCAAGCAAATATTATGATCCCGAAGCCACAAAATTGCCCTTCTAAATGTACATTTTAAATTATTATCTTGCGGATAAATGAAAGAGCTGGTACTGTATTAATGTGGTAATCATCGACAGACTCATTCTCGCCCATCTGAACCAACTCTATTCATTTTGGATCCATCTCACCATGCAATCATTTTCCAATTGTCTGAGGTCCAGTCTTTATAGCGTTTGGCAAAATTAAGGTTATATAATTTAGTAAGTTTATGCTTCTTGGGCTTAATTTCTAGCTCTTGCTTTCAAATTGTTACGTTTTAGGAATCTGCGGAAAGTTGAAGTACTCACTTATAATCTTAAGCCATGTTTCAATTCACTCTTTACTTGTGATGATGTACGGCAACGTCCACTCGTTATCAAACGTTTGTGTTTTGGCGCTCAACGTTTTCTTGCTGCCAGCTTTTAAATTTTCGTGATGCTCACTATTTTTTATTCCGAATACATTCTAACGCCCAACAACGAGTTCTAATGCTGTTTTCTCAACAGAAAAACTTTTCTACAGCAGGTCCGCAATAAGGAGATTCTTTTCACTAAAAACCTTCTTCCCGATGACTCGTATCAAGCAGCAGCTCACTTGCATATTTATACGTTAATATCTCTTTAACATTGTTTAACGTTGATGTAATAACAAATTGATATATGCGTCAAAATTCTCCCAATGCAACAATCAGAATTTATACACCGTAGATATTTTAAAAATATGAAAATTATTTTTATTTTTTGCTATTATGTGAATATTGTAATTATCTTACGGCCGATTTATTTCCTTTTCCATTGACTTTCGCATATAGAATAGTTTTGCTATTTTTCTATAGTTCGTACGGACATTGGAAGAATTTTAATGCTTACTGTATTTAAGTGAAGGACATAACTGACTCTCAAAATATAAATTATCTTTTGCCGATCATACAAATTCATACGCGTTACAACGCATAAAATTCTATTATTAACAATACAAAATAGAGTAAATTATAAATAACAATCGCATAGATGTGTCGATCAGGCATAAACTGAATGCATTATTAACAATAGATGTAATAAATTTTTTCTGTATATATTTTTAATAATTTTTTTTCTATTATCCGAGGAAGTAAACTCTAAAAATGAATTGAAATAAATATTACTTCCACTCTGAATAAGTTACAGAACAATCTGTATGTTCTCCAAATGATCTTAAAGTAATAAAAAATATCAACAGAATGAAATTCATCGTGAAATTCCGATATAAAAAGGTGTTACGCGGTGATAAAATTATTTTCTTGTAATATATTTTTCTATAATTTCTTCAATGTTTTACGAAACGATTTTTTATTTTTGGTAAGCTCCATGATTTTACTTGAACCGGTTAAGAGAAATACGTAAATGTTATATATCTACCACTATACAATAATGCACGTAACGTATTTCCTCAGACACTTCAGTTGGCGTCAGTTTTTTTAATAGGACGGTGTTAACATTTTATTTTAGATACATAATGAATTCGTTATCAAACCGTTTTTATATAACATTTTGAAAATGTCGGATAAAGTTCAATTTGTTTTTTTATTAAAATGACGTTATTAGTAATACATACAATTCATTTTAATTAAATAGATAATTATTTTTAACAATAACATAACATAATAAAACCGATAAGAAATCTCACAAAAGTCTATAAAGAAGCCATGTAAAACTTATAAACATTTAGCTACGAACAAAGAATTCGTCTCTTAAAACTTAAAAATCTTTGAGTTTCTACAACGTTAATTCTTATAACTAAAAATATTTACAAGATGATTTAGTCTACTTCAATGTTTTCAGGAAGAGAAGTTTTGTTTACAATGAAAAAAAAGAGTATCAGTTGATAACAAATCAGTTATATATAAATACCGTAATCATTCAATCGCAGAAAAATTAAAGTTGTTCAGATAGCGCACGAAACAATAAAATATGCCTCCATTATTTTGGTTGATTCTATTCGAATTTCGTATCGTTTTCCTTTTTTCGATCGTACTTCTTATAATTTTCTTATGGTTGAAGAACACAAAATATGCTAAGAATAATAGTCAAGTGCCGTTAGTCGCATCTTTACCAATTTTAAAAAATATCCTGTCTTTGTGGCGCAACAATCTTGACAATGATCTCGGTGTTTGTAAGTATTTTTTAAAGATATAGAATATATTTTTGTTTTGTTACTATTATTCTTTAGATTATGGTTTGTATCCAGAATACTGGATTAATAAAGCTTTCCTTCAATTAGAAGAATAACTTTACGAAATAGTTATTTGAAATAATATTTAGCTAATATATAATAATATTAAGTTATGAAATGCTTTCTAGATATTATTCAATATTTGAATTATATGAGCATAACACATCTAAAAGAAAAAATGTTCAGAATTTGCTGGGCAGGACATAGCTACGTGGCACTTATTCATCCGCAAGTTGCCCAGGTATCAACGTAATTTCTGTGAACGTTTTTATAAAATTTTAAATATTTTAAATTAAATATAATTGTAGGAAGTCTTTAAAAGTTATAATGTGATAAACAAGGATTGGACGTACAATATTTTTCATCCGTGGTTAGAAACTGGACTTCTTACGAGGTAACGAACTTAATAAAGTCATTAGAATTTTAGTAATCGGATTAATCATATACAATACGCAATGCACTTTTAGCTCTGATGGCAAATGGAGAAATCGAAGGAAACTTCTCACTCCCGCATTCCATTTTCGAATTCTTGAAGATTTTCAAGATATCTTTTACGAGCAGTCCAATGTATTAGTGGAAAAATTAAAAGAGACAAAGGCGGGTGAAATAATAAAAATGTCCGAATTAGTCACGCTCTGTACACTCGACATAGTTGGAGGTAAGTAAATATTGGGTAAAGTACGCTTGTAAATAACTTCAGGCTTATACATTAATAATATGTGGTACAGATTCTGCAATGGGAGTTAAATTAAATGCTCAACTTAGTACTGATAATGAATATGTTAAAGCGGTTAAAAAGTAAGCACTTTTTCTATCTTAGAGTAGTTGTTTTACTTATCAATTTTTATACAAACGACCGCACGGACTTATTGATTTAATCTCTAAAATAAAATTTACTATTATATTCTAGCGTTACACGATCGATTGTTCAATGGTTCTCAAAACCGTGGTATTGGTTTCCACCATTATTCTACGTGAGTTCTTTGGGAAAGAATATGAGGAAAGATATCATATTACTTCACGATTTTGCCAGAAAGGTACGAATTTTATTTATAATTCACTAAAATCATTTCATTTTATGTGAAAATTATAACAGGTTATAAGAAGGAGGAAAGAAATAGTAATAGAAGAAATAGAAGAGAATCAAACAATGGATGACTTCCAAGAAGAAAGAGAGATATTGGGAATCAAGAAGCGCAGAGCATTTCTCGATTTATTGTTATATCATCACCTAAACGACGGAAGTTTAACTGAAGAGGACATTAGAGAAGAAGTCGATACCTTTATGTTCGAAGTAAGATATTAATTTGTTCATATCAATAAAACATTGCTTGCTCGTCTTTTTAATCAGTTTAGATCCGCCTGTCTTCAGAATCATCTTTTCGTCTTCTTAATTTTTTTTCCTTCTGCCTTGTGATTCGTTATAATCTTAGGTGTTCTATTATTATATAAATAAAATAATCATTTTATCGTCTTCGAGGGACACGACACTACGTCAATGGGAATTAGCTGGACGTTATTTCTTCTCGGTTTGTATCAGGATGCCCAAGAAAAAGTGTTTCGAGAATTAAATGACATATTTGGTGACGACACGAACAGGACAATAAAAACGGATGATCTGAAGGAGATGAAATACTTGGAACGTGTCATTAAGGTAAAATATTTTCCTCTTTGATAATATTCAATTTATTATTCATTATATGATTCGATTAAATTTAAACTCTTTACAAGGAATCTCTGCGATTGCATCCTTCGGTTCCATTTATTTTGAGGAGAGCCAGTGAAGAATTAAAAATTGGCAAGAAATTTCTTTACAGTTAAAAATTATATAATCGCTAAATCATAGTTTTATTTCTATAAAAATGATGTTAAATATTTCAGGAGAATATACAATTCCACGAAATTCGTCAATTTTCGTTTACATTTATGGAATTCATCACAATCCAGAAGTTTATGAAAATCCCGAAATATTCGATCCCGATCGTTTCTTGCCAGAGAATTGTGAAAATCGTCATCCTTTTGCCTACGTACCATTCTCGGCCGGTCCTAGAAATTGCATAGGTGAGATCATTTTGCCAATATTTATTGACGTGTGCGAAGTTCCTGTCTAAATTTCATTTTTTAACACAGGACAACGCTTTGCAATGAATGTATTAAAAACTGTTTGTGCCAATGTGTTGAGAAACTTCAAAGTTCGTTCTACGCAGCATCGAGACAAAGTTGTTGTATCGGGAGATATTATTCTTCGTCCTAAAGAGGGAATAAAATTATTTGTAGAAAAGAGATAAATCGTAAAAGATTCCGTAATATTAGTAATTTCGTTCCTTTGTGTTATAAAAATTATTATCACAGCAACGTCCAATCTTGAATATTGTCATTAATAGTTATGCAAATAAATATTTTTATTTAATTTAAGTATTTGTTTTCCGAGTATAAATCAAATTCAATTGTTACAAATTGTAAAAATATTGTATTTAAGACAATTATTTCTTTGCCTTAAGATATGAATTACAGCAAGTTTCAATGTATGTACCGGTACTTAAGTTACTATATTCAATTTGTCTTCCTAAATATGCGATAAATATTTGGAATAATAATAATGATAATATTACTTTTAATTAATTAGTTGTTAATCATGTAATAATTAATTAAATTATAACGTAATTATTTATATCAGAAATTGTTATTAATTAACGAAAATGTAAAATTTAAACGTCAAACATGTTTTATTAATCATTGTAAATATTCATAATACTTTTGTATTTGTAAATATCATTTAATCATGGTTTATTGTGTATTATTGTATTCGTCTAATAATTTCTAAATAAAATATTTTTCGTATTACATTGTAATTTTGTAATATAATTAACATAAACATATGCAACGTCTCTAAAACTTGATAATATCCTTTATCATAAACATTGCCTTTTATAGATAAAATTCGTGATTAAAGTACAGTTGCATATTCTTTATCATTGTTATTATAAAAATAGGTAAATACTTTACTGCGTAGTTTCTAATAGATTTATTCATATTAAAGCAACATTTTATTGTTCGACAATGCTATATGTTCAAAATAACACAAGCCATCTTTCAATGAATAATACAATGGTAACAGTATATGAATTATTTACAAACAGGCTCTATTTTAACAACAGTTTCGAATTTCTTCGCGTATTCTGGGAGGTAATCCCAGAACACGCGAAGAATACCTCCCAGAAACTCTAAAGCTAATCTCGTCTTCTATATATATCACATTTTTTTGTTCTTCCTCTTAGTAGAAGTTTGAACTGATTAATAAATGTAGGTGTTCAATACATTAACACGTCCAGTACTTATAAGTTTTATTTCTTATTATATATTAATTACAGATTGAGCATTGATAGACTATTCTGTTTTAAAGCCTTCCACGTGTTAGACTGAAATAATAAATTTAAAAAATGAAATATTTTTATTAACGTGAAGATTTATTTTTATAATTTTAAAAAAATTTCCAACAAAACTATAAGTAGCGATGTTGAATGTTTAACGATTGTTGTTCATTTAATGCTTAAAAGTAATTTCTTATTAATGTTCTGTTTAATCTAGCAATATTAATTTTACAAATAATAATATGACAACAATAGCCATGCGAGGTGATACGGGAAATCGCGACTTCAATATCAAATTTCCGGTGATGAGTAACGTATACATATAAGGTGTGTTAAATTAATAATTAAATTCGTTACGCATTATTTTAATACTCTATATTAAATGATAGTAGAGAACGATACAGCAAATGTAACAATGAGAATGTACGCTTCAAAATATTTAATAATCACATAAATGTAATACTGTACTTCTGTAGTTCTGATATAAGTGTAACAATTAAAAGTATGTTTAGAGTTTCAAATAAATTTAGAACATTATATTAATAAATTTATTAAATAAACAGAAAAATTTTTTGACTCGTTATATCGGTCTAACATACGTATAAAATTATACGGAGTGCAACCTGACGCTTCCTGCTTTACAGTGAATTGTGTTCCTGATATAACTTTTATTTCTCAGTTTATTTTTGAAGCTACGACCGATCGAAAAATGCTATTCTTTTCCAAAAGACAATAAATGATGCGTGTAATCCTTTGAAATATCAGCTGGCTTAATGAATGTTAATAAAACTACTTCTTTATTATTTTTTACAAACTTTATTTTATTTAATAATAAAGAAAAATATAAAATAATTTAATTTAAAATTCTAAATAAAATCATTGAAATTAAAATAAATATAAATATTTATGAGAAATCTGTGACGAAATCTTCACATCGACAATATCTAAAGTGATTTTTTTAATCTCGGTATGGTGTGTCTAACAATATAAATCTAATCTATAAAAGAGGTTCAAATTCTGAAATATAGGCTGTAATATTATTAACTTTCTTTTTTTTTGCAAGATATCTTATCACTAACATAACAAGGAAATAACTAGAAATATTTTTCGACTTTGCTTCTTGTCAGTCACGCTGTATTGAAAGTTTACATATTCAAATTGTTTTGTTAATAAAATCAACGTTCACGTATAAACACAGGATCGCATAAATAATATTTTACAGAAAAAATATCAATGCTTGATTTACTTTTCGATTATAGTAATAATAAAATCCATGTTATTAATTAAAAATACCTATTTTATCAGAATAATTATCAGTTAAATATTATTGCTAATGTGAAGTGCGTAAACAGAAACAATAACGATGAAATGACGAGTAATTGAAATTAGTTTATAATCGGAGAAAAATATACATTTGCTTTTTCTACAAAACTTACTCGGCCATACAGGAGATCCTAGTGTTATTACGAGCCTTATCTCAGTGTTCATTAACAATATTTTTGTTTACTGTATTCTTTTAAAGAATTGAAGTCGCGAAGATTCGGAAGATCTCGCTATTATTTCTACATTTATTAATGTTTAGTAAGTTATGTAGAAAATGTTACCCGAATAAGAAATATCAAATGTTTTTTAGCTGGAAAAAAAGCATAAGATAAACGGTTAAAGATGACAAAACTATTAACCAATCTTATCATGATCAGTTGGAACGAAATATGCTCAAAACAAGCTGCTCGTCTATAAATAGAATATTTTCAGTGAGATTTAAATAATGACATATGTATGAGGGATCACGGAAGTATTAACAAGAATCAACGAATAAAGATGTATTCTAGCATATATGGAGAAAAGAAAGACGAAATTTTAGAGCTTTTAGAAAATAAATAGTTTATTAAGAGAAATAATAAAAGAAAAAATACAAAATACTTGAATGAAGGAGAGAGAGAGAGAGAGAGAGAGAAAGTTTGTTAATGATTCAAAAGAAAAGACAAGTTCAGTTTTGAAAAGGGAGTTGGAACATCGTGCAAAATAGAAGAACGAGATGGACTCGTCTTTGGACCCGCTTCACTCGGATCAAAAAAGAAATAAGTAACTATTATGTTAAGATTTTTTTACAAGAGGCGTAGTCACTTTTACACCCAGGAACATAATACTTAGAAGGCATTATTACACGAAGATCAAACGATTTCTATATTAACAAACCTGCTACAGCAGTAACCAATGTGGCTCGACTCGCTGACAGTTCCGGTCTTCTGACAAAGCTTTACTCTAGACGCTTTTTCGACACACTTCTTACGGAAGTTCTTCGACCTTATATTCTAGCAATTGTGACAGAGTTACATAGATTAGCTGTCTCCAACCTTTCTGACCTCACGGACCACTAAATTCACAGTTATAAATCCCGCGGACCACTATCATACATTTTAAAACGATACAAACATCTATAGAATAATAATCATAAAAGTTACATTTTACTTTATTAATATGGAATTCAATTGTTTAATTACTTTGTTGCCGCTTGTTTGAAATAAGTTTATAGATTCTCGGCTCTTTTCCACGAAAGACGGCAATCGCACTCGTAATATTATTTATTGATTTATTGACATTATTATTTATCGATAATAGTCATTTCGTGTTTGTTTTAGATTCGAATAAGAAACCCTCAATCAGTGAGAAAAATCAAAAGCATTTTGCATATCTTTCTCAATAATCGCGAGTTGATCGATGCCCAAATTTCTCCACTAAGCATCAAAATGTTCTTGCAGACTATAAGTGGGGCTATCACGGACCACCGGTTGGCGACCCTGACAGATGACCGGCACGACACTGTTGTTATCAAAAAAGCACGATGTACGGGGACTACTAATTTGAGATCGAGAGTTAAATATCAGAGAATATATGATTGAAAATTGCAGCTCGGAATTGCTATAAAAATACAATACTGTATTTCTATTAATTAAATATTATTTAAAATAAAAGTGGATTGCCAACAAACATTTCGTGATAATTAATTTTATTTATATTTTCTTCAGTTACAAAATTGAAAATCTAAAATTTTCATAACGTTCAAACACGCAAATAAATAACAATGATCAGTTTAAGTGTGATGAGAATTGAGAATGTAGAAAATATTTGTTTACAAAATGAGTTTTTAATCATTACAAAATTCATTTACAAGAACAGAATTTATTGAGTAGCTTTAGATTTAGATATTATCTTCTTTCTATCTTTCTTCTTCAGACCGTCCATGTTACCTTTCAAGAGATTTGCGTAAGTCTGTAAAAAATAATGGCACCATAAAGAGTAATGCCACCCGCTATATAATACTATGGTAAAGTTCGCGTAGTAATGGATTAAAATAGTAACGAAAAATAGAGAAAATTGAAACGAGGCAACAACTCGGATAATCTACCAGGCTTATAAGATTATTTTACGTGCATATTAATCGTCAAAGTCATTTGGATTATTATCAAGTGTTGAAATTTGTGTTATTCTCACAGTTGATGAAAGCAAATTTCTTTAAATATTTGTGTCAAAATATACACATTTAAGTTGATTTCTTTACATGTGCAACAAAAGTGGTCAAGTTTTATCTTATGTTCCACTGTATCCAACCTACATTGGCTACTTTTTGAGTTGATCGAAAGGTTTGTTTGGTTTTTAAATAAAAATAAAACATATTTATTTTTGTCAATAACTTTATGGAACAAAGTATTTATTGTTTTGCTCCGCTACTTTTACCATTTTTCGGGCAACATCTTGTCAAGCTATTTATCTTTTTGAACAAAGAACTCTTCTGAGTGCCTTTTGCAGTCTTCCACGAGATTGAAATTTTTTCCACGAAGAGAGCTTTGCAGAGGGAAATAAATACAAATTCGAAAGTGCAATGTTTGGTGAAAACTGTGAATGAACCGGAACTTACCAGCCAAGCTTTAACAGCTTTGCCTGGTCCTGATGGAAGATTACGCATTTTCTGTTGACTAATACTGGATGTTTTTTGTCGAGTGTTGCTTTCAGCTTGTATGAATGGCTTTCCGGGCAATAGAGGACTTTTCCTTCCGATCTCGCCGTAAACGTGGAATAGACGTTTCTTTGACCGTCTTTTGGTATGTTTGGTGATGGTTTATTTCGCTTGCCCCGTTATCTCTTCCGTTTCATATTATTATGGAATATCCATTTTTCGTCACCTGTCACGATCTGTTTTCAAAACGGAACGTTTTCGTTATGGTTAGGTAGAGAATCAACTGCAGAAATATGATCACAGAAGATTTTTTTTTTTGCTTAACTTACAGTAAGCGTCAAAATCCTCTCAAAGTTTGCACGCACTATAAAAAAATAGCAAAAACTATTCGATATGCGTAAGTAAATATAAAAGAAAATAAATCAGCCGTAAGCTGATTTATTTCCTGTTTTGTTTCCACCAGCCTTAATGTACGTACAGACACCATAAGATTCTTCATTTCATTCCGTTCTCTACACGCTATCCTATATATCACCCCGCCACTTCCCCTTTACCTTTCCCTTTCTAACCCCCATTTCCACCCCAGGTTACACCTGACTCCTCGGTTTCACCAACTTTTAATCCAAAACTGTTCCAAGGCCTCGAAACTTTGGATAAACGTCATTGTATAATAAATTGCACTAATTAGGTAGTGTTTTTCAACCGTTTTTATCTTATGGCATACTTGAACCTATAAATAAATTTCCGCGAAAAAATCACATGATTTAAAGCCGTGTTTGTAAACATTCTACCACCGTATTATTGGCGACTTGACTTAATTCTTTTTTGTCTATATTTTTTATGAATTAAATAAAACAGTCTTGTTCTTTCAAATAACAGCAGATTACAATAATAGTAATTTAAATTAGTAATTTTCATTTATATAAGAGAAACAAGTAACATTAAGTCTTAATTTGCATTTAAAAGTGACACGATCATTGCCTTAGAAACCTGCCCAGAGTCCCGCTATAGTTAAAATAATTTGAACTAAGTATATTAGATCATATATACAATTCTAGATACATTTTTGATTTAAAGAAAATTTCATTTTAAATGAAATAACCTGGGGTTACGCGCATATAATTTTCCTTGCGAATATATATTTTGTACTACATTATGTATACGCTTATTTAATATAACAACGAAAAGCTCTTGTAATCAATTTAAAAAGTTTATTTATCTTGTACTTTCGTACGTCTGCCGAATTGTAGTGGCTTCTCTTGTTAAAATGGTAAAACAGGTACGGTACAGTACTTTATAAATGGGAGCAAAGCTGGTTGTAACAAGCTAGTTGATTTTAATTCGAATCAATATTGATTAGGTCAATACAAATACTAAAATGATTGACAACGATTTAAAAATAACTGATAAAATGACACATTTTAAATATTTTAAGTAATTTTTGTATAATTTGTGATAATGTATTTCAGAAAATTGCAAACAGATTAAAATTGTTGTACAGTATTTGAAATAAAATGAATATGCACATTGACAATTCTGTTATGAAACAAGTGAGACAACTTTAAAAAATTAAAACAAAAACTTTATCTTATAAAGTGTGTCTTTAGTAGCAGTTCACATTCGTAATTCTCAATATTGTGAATTTGAAAACACGTAAAAGTGTTTAGCAAAAAAATTTAAGTTAAAATATTGCATGGCACTTTGATTTTTTAACATTACTAGCAGATGAGCCCGGCGTTTCTCGGGCAAAAAATAACAACAGCAAAGATTAAGATTATTAAAGTATTTCGTAGTCTTCTGTTATATTACATTATAGTAATTGATTTATAATTACAAACATTACCTTTCGTTATGGTTTATTTTAAAAATTCGCCCACCAGTGGCCAAGCGGTTCCATTCCCCGAACACTGGAAGTTCGGTCGTGGTTTCTCGCCTGGCCAGGACGGCACACCACGTGGAGTTTTCCGGGTTTTTATTATGATGGACCGCTGTGTTTTTCTATATCATACTTGAAAATAACTCTCGAAACTCGTTCAATCCGTAGACCGAATGAGTTTTGACTGTGGATACGTTTTTGGTGCCAAATATCATGACTTGTGCAACAGCTATGTTTTCCCATAATATCTTGCTGAATATATTTGATCAATTTGAATCCTGCCAAAAATTAAGAAGATACTTCTAGTAGTTTTTGCGTGACAGATTTTTGCCTTTTTTCTAAAATATACCTTCCTGGATAGAACGAATTTTCGGGTGCATGTATTCAATTGATGTGTGTCTCAAATTAAAAAAAATGCAAAATATAATTTACGATTTAGCGCAGGCAGATTATCCTAAAGATTATATTTTAAAAATACAGTCTACAAAATCTGAAATGTATATTTTTTAATTAAGAAGAATGAATTTATGGTTGTATTCAAAGACGAACAGAAAAATCATTACGGATTAAGTAAGTACATAATTTTGATGATTAAATCATTTTACGTTATTGAAAACGATGCCTGCATTTGTAAATCATCGAAACGGCTAATCCTGTGAATATTGTAAAGCCTAATAAACGGAAGAAGCCTGGAACGGAAGGTTGATTTCTTTCCCACCACGTTCGTTTAAATGGAAGATCAACCACATCCTGAGAACAAAGAGGAATGTTACGTAAATCTACTCTACGTTGAAAAAGTAAAAAATTTAATTTATTACATTTGCGGGAGCTTCTGTTTGCCATATTTCTTCTTCTCGAATCTTTCCCATTGCATAAAGTACCTCTCTAGCAGCTCTTTCTCCTGCTTGAATAGCACCTTCCATATATCCCGTCCAAGTAGTTCCAGTTTCTGTTCCTGCAAAATATATTCTTCCTACCGGATTCCTTAAGATTCTGTTTTAGTAATACCAATTAACAAAATACTTCGTTAATTTCATAAAATTTTCAAGAAATAATAATATCTTACTTTCCATATCTGGTTAAAAATCCCGGGGGAAACATAGCCGTGTAACAACCTCCCGAATATTGTTCTTCCATCCAATTATATTCTTCGTAATGTATTGGCTACATTTTATTACAAGGATATACATATTATTACAATTAGTTACTTTATATATAATGAATCAAAATTTACTATAATTTTCTACACTATTATTCATATTGTACAGTAATCTTTATGTTTGCAATATTGCTGGCTTTTCAAAAACGTCATAATGTTTCTCAAATAGTAACCAAATGCAATTATGTTCCTAAAACTGACAGTTTGAGCTAGGTAATACCACAAGAGATGGTCAATAAAAATTTGACATTACAGTATATAGTCATAATGAAAACATTTATACGAGCCATAAAAGTGTGGTTTGGTTTGATGGTATAAAGCAACCCAACGTGGGCGATCTGACAATGGGGTGTGTCTCCTCGGATAACTTTCTATAGAAACTCTCTATTTACATTTTTGACACAAAGAAAACTCGAAGGATTAGTCGCGCGTGGACACTCCTTTGGTCAGGCACGAATCCATTACCGACTACTTGTGTCGAGTAGTTTTAATACACTCGGACACTCGCGGGTCGAGTCGCAAAAGCGAATAGTTGTAAAGTGGTATTTTTTGTTTTCCACTCGTTACTGTTATTACTATTCGAGAAATTTCATTTTATAATTCCTAATTATAATTGAAAGTAAGAAAACATATTTTAAAACGTTCATTAATGTTTTCTACTCATATCGAAAATACTTTTATCAAATCCCATAAATTTATTTAATTCCAGAAAATACATACGTCAATATTACCTCTAGAAATTCACTCAAGCCGAACACATTATAAAGACATTTGGCAAAAATGTTCTTTCTTTCTTCTTTTGAAAGAGGAGTTAAATTTCGTACTTTGTCTGCTCCTACAAATCTTAAAGTAAAAACTGAGTTAATTAATTTAAGTATATTGTGGTTTTAATTAAAAAACTTGTGTTTTAAATTAAATTTAATGGTAAAATGGTTAGTTATGGATTATTATTTTTTATTTTGCTAAGAATTTTCAGTACAATTTAAATAACAAACCCTATCAAGGCTGGATAGCTTCCATCGGGTTTAGTGTCATCATATGTAGCAGCAATTGGATTGCCATCATCCGTATCAACCAAAGTTGAACCACAGTAACCTAAAACAACTTGGTAATTATTAATTCGACAGATAGCTTCTTATTTTTAACTTAAATCTTGCCTTTTTGTCTCCAGAACTGCGTTCGATAATATAAGATGCATTTCATGACAGATCCCATTGGACATCTTTGGATCATTTGATTTCTTACAGCAGGAAGTGGTGGATCGTAATGAATTTTCATTTGTAAAATAGGTGGAATGGCCAAAATTACAAAATTTGCCTGCAAATTTACGATTTATTTTCATCGAAAAACATATTTCAGCCAATTTTAATGAAATTAATTAATTTAATCGTCAGTTTAATAAGTTAAATTTTTAAAGTAAATTATATAAAATATATATGTATTTATTTACTGTATATGTATTTCCATTTAACGTTTTCACTATTACTTCTTCGTTCTTTTGAATTATGTTTACAACTGGTGAATTCATTTTTACTGCATCTAAAAGAATAGCAAACGAGTGAATTTGATATCAAGAAATTTTATTAAAACTTCTAAAATTTAATTTTTTTACTCGATTTTATTAAATAAGTAAATTCTTGCAATTTAATTGAAAAATTTAAGTAATATACCTCCCAATCTAGCTGCAATACGTTCACTTATTTGTTGACTTCCTCCAACGAATTTTCTTTCCTGTTAATAAAATTTTCCAATAAGTTTCGGTTCCTTTATCTGTTGTATCGATTTCTACAAGGTGATTCAAATGTATTCGTACAAATCAGAGACCACTCGAAGGAACGTGTGACGCGTGTGTGCATATAACATCAGACGTATTAACACGTTATGAGTGAAAGAAAAGCATTCGTATATTTACTTAATAACAATTCACATATATCATTTTCTATGACCTATAAATAAGTGCATAGTAGGGTAAACCTTTTGTTCGTTTTTGGAGACTTGAATCATCCTGTATAGTGTTAAATGCATAGAAATTACATACTTGTCCTCCGTTTGATACATTCATCATTTTCATTGTGCCCTGACATAGTTTGGTGTACCATAAAATCCATAAAAGTGAACTTTCGTAACTTGAAGAAACCATATATAATTCAATAAGAATATTAGCTATAGCTTTACCCTGCCTGAAAATAGCAAAAATGGAAGTTTTAATATTTGAATTTATAACATAATTTATAATATTGTAAAATTTGTATTTAAAATAGTTTTGTTATATACCTTGTATAACAGATCTTTTCACAAAAATCGTGATAAGTCATAGTATCCCATTCCTCGGCATGTGGTGCTTTCCAAGGTTCATTGACAGGAATCTATTCGACATTTTTGAAAGTTAGATAAATAAAATAATTAACGAATAAAAAATTTTCTATAACTTTATACCTCTTCGCCCATTTTATCGATAGTTCTTAAGAAATTATTAACATCCATTTGTACCAATGGATTCCAAAAAGACACTGGAGATGCTGCAAGATAAGGATATCTTTTTCCCTTAAATAGTTAATGATTGCCGAATTATTTAGGTTTAATTGATTATTCACATCTTAAATTAAACGAAACTAACTTTAGAATAAAATAAGAGCTTTTCATTCTCTTCTATTATGTAGTTTTCTACTCCCAATTCCTTGGACAATCTGAAGAGATGATTTTGAGATGGTCCAACATACGATCCTCCTAAGTCTACGTATCCAACCAACGGATCCTAATGACAAATTTAGTACGTATCTTGTTCATTTTAAACTATTCATTAAGAACAATTACAATTTCATTTAATTGATGCAAATTATAATAGTTATAAAATATAGCCATAGAAGAACTAATTGATAAAAAATTATAATAGTAAAACACAATGATTATAGTTAAACGGAGTTTAAAATTTTATTTTATATAAGAAGGTTTAAAGAACACACAGCTATTATCCATTTTCAAAATTGTATCAACCTAAATAATGGGATAGAAATGGGAATATGGTAACGTCATTGAAAATCATAAAATGGGTGGCAAATGTGAAGTCGGATAGTGTAATATTGATACACGAACCGAGACACTGAAGCCGTGAGGTTCGTTTTGTATAGTTGTAAATTTTAATTTTAATTGTGGTTTTTTGTTAATATATATTTTCTAACAATTATTTTTTAATTTGTAGCCCGAAGAGGAATTGGAAAATAACAATCGGAAATGCATTGTTAAATAGGCGAATAAAGTGAATTGATTTAATCTTGGCCTCTGTTTATTGCGGGTAATTAATACGTCATTTCTTTAAAAAAAACTTTAATATTATTTACGTCTATATTACAATTATTTCCTTTGCAATGTGGGGTCCGAGGAGATTGGCGGTATTTTAAGTGAACTAGTGGTGTCTACATACTGAAAATAATTAATCTAATTTGAAATAATGCGGAATTTAAGAATATAATGAATTTATAACTTTTAAGACTTTAAAAAGAATTACAGTAGAACGTCGATTTTCCGAATCAATTGGGGACTGGGGTTGTCCGGATAACTGATATTTCGGATAACTGATTTACGTACGAAAAAATAGTTTAACGTATCCGATTTCGAAATTTTTCTCCGTTGCGTGTCGCTTGGCGTTGAATTTTCGTCGATGTTAAGCCTAACAAAGACTATTGTATCGTTAAAAATTATTTTTTTATTTTGTACAAACAAAATAAATATATTGAAAAATATAAAAATAATAAAAAATTATACTTCAGATGTTAATTTAGTATCAAAAAC